AGGAAATTGGTGCTGGTTAATGTCATATCAAACCACTCGATCTGTGGGGCACAGCTGATTGCTGCAGCAATGTACCTGAGCTCTTGGAGCAGGACGTTCGGCTTAATGTCTGCTCGTTGCCACAAATCTTCAGAGTGTAGAATTTTTATTTATTTTCTTCACCTGTCAGTGTTGGGTTAATCTTTACTAAACGGATGCACTAAGCTTGGGAAAATTGAAGATGATATTCCTATAGTCCTCAGTATAAGAAATAATCTGCAGACACAAAAGGTAACACCACTCAAAGTGTATGTCCATTCATTGCTCCCAAATTTCAACTCCACCTTGTCTTGCATACTGAGGTGAAGAGAATGTTTGCTGGGGAGTAAAGCTTCCTTTCAGCGTTTCCCACAAGGGTATGCCAAGTCTTGGCAACATAGATTGTTAAATATATTTTGTGATGAGGAGTTGGGGACTCAGAGCTTTGGGCTGGGCATCTGTAATTTAGCACCAAAAGAAGACCAATATGACTTCATGGGTTTACCACAATCTTCACTTCTTTTATTGGCTATAAAAAGAGCAACAAATCTTCACTACTTGTAATGTATTATATATTCTAGTGAGATAGAGCTTATAGATCTCTTAATGTGTTACTGTGAAATAATCTGTATTATTACTTTTAACTCTTTAGGCCTAATATAATATCCTTTAGTCACCTTTTTATTTCCATATTTTATCATTAACAGACTTGCAATGAGATATAATGAACAATATATTTGTATTTTTTTCATGCTCACACAATACCACAGCAAAATGTGCTTCTATATTGACCGGAGACTTTAGCCAAGCCGTTATCCATGCTTTTATGTAATATGACAAGGAGGGTTTTAGTGTTTATATATCATTGCAAAATTGTAATACATCACAAGGTCAGAAGCTTATTTAACAACTGGATGAAGATGTGGAACCTTCATGGTTGAGAAACACTCAGACAAGTCTGTTAGGTAGGGCATATGAAACATATTGAATTAAAGGAATACAATTTAAAACTGACATTGTTCTAGTTTTAAAAAGCTATCCATATTACTTTTTTAGAAAAAACAGCATTTAAGATAAATTTAAGACTTTATATGCTTTGCAGGTATATAAGTAGCACATGATGATTAAGTACAATGTGTGATACCTGCATAGTAAAGTTAATTAATAGAAAAACAACCATACCCATCATAAGCAAATATCTGTAAAAAGGAAACAAGATCATTGTATCTCTAAACACTGGCAGAACACTAACGATGTTTTTGAATATTATTGCCAGAGTCAATAATATTCAGTGCCAGAGTCTATTAAAGTTAGAATAAAGTGAGTACCAGAGTGTAGTTTTAAAGTGTGCATATTTCTTATTTGTAGAATGATTATGCTCTTTAATTTTAGCTGGGAAAATGCTGTGCTCATTTTAGATTTTTTGTGTGTGAAATGTCTTAGCACATAAAAAGTTCTGCTAGTGCTTAGCCACAAAGTAGACCTTGACCTTACCTGATTTCACATTTCCTTGAATTCTTGGGAAAAAATTACTTTTCTTTTTTTCTTTTTTTTTTACTAATGAATATTGATGGTGCTATTTTTATTATAGACATTATAATTACTATAATGTTATAAACATTAGTAACAGCAAAATAAGATTACGTAAAATATTTTCATAAATCAAGGAAAAGGGTAAATTGGCTCATTGGCAACTTTATGGAAGTGTTGCCGTTTATGTGTAAAAACAATTAATAAAGTTAATTCACATGCATTGGGTTTAATTAAAGAGAGAGTGTATATATCTTATCATCAGTAATCATATAACGCATCTTTGTAACTGATGTTGTATTGTATGATGGTCTCATTAGGAACTGATTGAAAAATAGTTGTAGATTTTGTACTTTCTTCTGGCTATCTCTTGCATAGATTCTTCAAAATCATGAGCTTTATTTTGAGAGTAAATGTTTCTCTTTTTATCATACTAGCAGTTGGATGTAGAACCTACATTATGGCACTATCGAAGTCTTGTAGCTGTAGTAGTGATAAATCTATGATTTTCAAATTAGAAATATATGTTTCTAATAACCCAAGGATGTAATCTCCAGAGAACTAGCATTGTTTATCCTCAGTAAAATGTTATGGTAGTTATTGCAGATAATGATTATATAATAATATTGTGAAAATATTGTTTCTAAGATTTCATAACTATAAGGACTATAGATAAATCATTGTGATTAAGATTAAATTTCCTTTTATGTGGGAGAGAGTATATGAACCCATGGAAATCTTTATCACATCTCTTTTATACTGCATATTTTAAGAGATTGATTTACTTTGTATGTTTTTTTCTTTCTTTCTTTCTTTATTTATTTATTTATTTATTTTCCAATCAGACATTTGAAACACATTTATATCTCAATCTCTGCTGTTATTCTCAAGTGTATTCTCTCATCGCAGAATGCAGCAAGTGGGTATGACTCAGCCTTTGAGGAAGATGAGA